AGGTTATCATCAGGATACCATATACTATACTGTACCAGGTATACACAGGTTATCATCAGGATACCATATACTATACTGTACCAGGTATACACAGGTTATCATCAGGATACCATATACTATACTGTACCAGGTATACACAGGTTATCGTCAAGATACCATATACTATACTGTACCAGGTATACACAGGTTATCAGGATACCATATACTATACTGTACCAGGTATACACAGGTTATCATCAGGATACCATATACTATACTGTACCAGGTATACACAGGTTATCATCGGGATACCATATACTATACTGTACCAGGTATAAACAGGTTATCATCAGGATAACATATACTATACTTTACCAGGTATACACAGGTTATCAGGATACCATATACTATACTGTACCAGGTATCAGCAGGTTATCATCAGGATACCATATACTATACTGTACCAGGTATACACAGTTTATCATCAGGATACCATATACTATACTGTACTAGTTATACACAGGTTATCAGGATACCATATACTATACTGTACCAGGTATACACAGGTTATCAGGATACCATATACTATACTGTACCAGGTATACACAGGTTATCAGGATACCATATACTATACTGTACCAGGTATACACAGGTTATCAGGATACCATATACTATACTGTACCAGGTATCAGCAGGTTATCATCAGGATACCATATACTATACTGTACCAGGTATACACAGTTTATCATCAGGATACCATATACTATACTGTACTAGNTCAGGATACCATATATGTCACATACATATATCATATCATGTCATATATATACACATGTCTCTAGTTATTTAAATACCTATGATTCAGCCCATCATGAGGTCTCTAGTTATTTATATATCTATGGTTTAGCCCCATCATGTGGTCTCTAGTTATTTATATATCTATGGTTCAGCACATCATGAGGTCTCTAGTTATTTAAATATCTATGGCTCAGCCCATCATGAGGTATCTAGTTATTTATGTGTCTATGGTTCAACCCATCATGAGGTCTACAGTTATTTATGTTTCTATGGTTTAGCCCCATCATGAGGTTTCTAGTTATTTATTTATCTATGCTTCAGCCCATCATGAAGTCTCTAGTTATTTAAATATCTATGTTTCAGCCCATCATGAGGTCTCTAGTTATTTAAATATCTATGGTTCAGCCCATCGTGACTCTATTTATTTATATCTATGGTTCAGCCCATCATGAGGTATCTAGTTATTTATGTATCTATGTTTCAGCCCATCATGAGGTCTCTAGTTATTTAAATATCTATGGTACAGCCCATCGTGAGCTCTATTTGTTTATATCTATGGTTCAGCCCATCATGAGGTATCTAGTTATTTAAATATCTATGGTTCAGCCCATCGTGAGCTCTATTTATTTA